GGTTTTTTTCAAAAAAAATGGGTGGTTGGGAAGATGGAGGAATACAAGAAACCCATGGAAGGAGCTGCAGATGATGGTTCAACAATTTATGTCGAGACCATCTACTACCCTTCCCAAACCATAGTGGAAGCAGCAGAAGCCGCAGAAAAACAGTGCCAGCTGGGTGCCCCATGCAAAGAGCTTCTGCTGAGGGGTGGTGGTGGTACAAAGTTTCTTTTAATGGAAACATTACCATGTTTCCCTGAAAATAAGACAGAGTCTTATTTACTTTTGACCCCCGAAATAAGCACTTGGCCTTATTTTTGGGGAGGTCTTATTATTTTTGAGGTGCGTGCAGGAGGTGGCGAGAATGGTCACCTCATGGTTGCTGCTGTGTTGCAATAATTTCGAAGAGGGCTTATTTTCATGGGAGGGCTTATTTTAGAGCATGCGCTCAAAATCCCGATTGGGCTTATTATTCGGGGAGATCTTATTTTCAGGGAAACAGTGTAGGAATGGTCGATAGGAAAAATGCTGATTCCCACTCTTGCCACTGAATATCACCAGAAAGTAGCAGTCAAACTCTGAGATGGTGAAGTGAGCTGTACCAACTAACAGACTACAAGTGTGTGCCTTCTAATTAAATTGTAAGTGCTTCTTAACTCTAATTTGATAAAAGTGAATGCCGAGGTGGCGCAGTGGTTAAATGCAGCACAGCAGGCTACGTCAGCTGACTGCAGTTCTGCAGTTCGGCTGTTCAAATCTCACCGGCTCAGGTTTGACTCAGCCTTCCATCCTTCCGAGGTGGGTAAAATGAGGACTCGGATTGTTGTTGGAGGCAATATACTGACTCTGTAAACCACTTAGAGAGGGCTGAAAGCCCTATAAGTCTAACTGCTATTGCTATTGCTATTTCTATTTTGGAGGTGCTGTCTCAGCCCCACACTAAGTCCGATGCCTGGAGTACTTATGCCTAAAATTGGAGATACCAAGACGGAGGTTCCTAACCCTTTCATTCTTCAGAAAGTGACAGCCTCCCTCAAAGCTCGTCTACCCACCAATGTCCCATGGTAGGTTTTATACAGCAGTTGCCGTCAGTTATACATCACAAAGTCACAAGATGTTCCCTTTATGATGCTTCTTGCTCCTTTATAGTTCTTTTTACAGTTTTAAGCAGAAATGCAATCATTGCGCTCCTAAGCTAACCATAAAACTTTCAGAATCAACAGCAATACCATAGCACAGCTTTCCGTAACATACTTCCATTTTCCTTCTAACCGTTTACCTGTTCACATCTTTCCTGCCTTATGCTTTGTCCCATTGTTGGAAGAAATGTTCTTCTGGGTTCAGGTCCAAGTGGGGAAAAGACACTGGAAACATGGAGGCTGCTTGGAAAGATGGTTTAATGGGGGACAGGACCACGTGGCTTGAGGTACTGGGGGAAAAGGTGATCACATGATTCCAGAGGTTGGGTGAAGAAGAAGAAAAAAACAAGGGCTGAAAGTTCCTGGCTTTATATTCTCTGTTCGGCCCCACCTCCCTGTTTCCTGTTCCTGTGTAAGAAATGTATTCTGATTGGTTGTCAGACTCCCATGGGACCATGCAGGGGCAATTCTTTAGGTTGTGCTTTGAGTCCAAGTTTGGTTGAGCATTGTTTATACCCAGGTGCCCTGGGGTGAGATGGGTAAAGGGCTAATACTATCATGCCTTAATCCTATCACCCTGGAGCTGAAGGGGAGGGATCTTTGTTACGTAGAATAGACTGACCCAGGCTTTTTAAATGTCCCATTGACAAAGGTGGGGACTATTAAGAGTGAGTCCTGCCTAAAAACATGCTTCCGCATTTCTGATCCAGGGAAATATAATATTCTACCTTTTCAGTATTTCCCAGGATATTTCATTTTTCTAGGAGAGGGGTGGGTGCTAACTTTCTGCACCGTGAAATAGCTGGGGTTACAGTTTAGCAAGCTCAAGCACTTAAGCTTTTATTGGAAGCTTTAGCCTTTTAATTAAATCCCCTTTCATCCCTTCATTCGGGTTCTGACCTTCCAATTGTCTGCAGCTCTACTGAAGCATATGGATTTGTTCCCTGGAGTGCTTGAGCCGTAAGATTTCCCAGCCTTCTCCCTGGAAATCTCAGGCTGCTTTCACCAGAGGCAACCCATGAGATCCAAAATAAGGAGAGTTGAGAATAGCAGTCGGCAATTGTTATCTTTTTCAAATTTTTGTAGTCATGCATAGTCCTCATAACACCCACCCATCCAGGAGTGGGTTCTGGCTTCTTCTACTGCCGGTTCGCTCAGGGACACGCTTCGGGTGCGCTACATGCTTTACCTATGGCACTACTGATAGAACTAGTTTTGGGGCGTGGCCAGCCAAGTTACTACTTACTTGTCTGAATCGATCCGAACCGGTAGGAACCCACCTCTGCACTTACCACCACCGCCCCACACACACACACTCCAATTCGCTTCTGAATCCTTACACCCCTTTCCTAGATCTGCATGTTCTACATCCTTGCTGGAGATTTGACATTTTATTGTAGACGATCTAGTTGTAGGTCTGATTACTCCATAGTAAAGGCACAGGTGCAGATACCTTCCACTTTGTGGTCCCAAAGGTGCTTTTTCAGGAGACAACTGGACTTTCTTATTTTTTTTTTAAGATGTTTCGCTTCTCATCCAAGAAGCTTTTTCAGCTCTGGTGGGACAGTGGAGAATGGAAGGATTGATATTGCTTGCAGACAAATCAGTGTTAGCAACTCCTAGTTACTGCCTGGGCAAGTCTCTGCTGTTTTCTTTGCAAGTTTTTAAAATTGTTTTGGCCTTGCCTAAGGGCTGGGAAAAAGTGATTGGCCAAGGTCACCCAGTTGGCTTTGTATCTAAGACAGGACTAGAAGTCATGGTATCCTGATTTCTAGTCTGATGCAGAAGTGGGTTCCTACCGGTTCGGTTCAGTTCGGTTGGGTTCAGTTCAGCCGAGTAGGTAGTAATTTGGCCGGCCACGCCCCTGAACTGATTCTATTGGCCATCTTGTTTTTTGCTTCTGCGCATGCACAGAAGCAATTTTTTACTACTTCACATGTGCACACGAAGTGCGCACGCACCCGAAGCGCATCTCTGAGTGAATCATCAGTAACCGGAGCTGGAACCCACCCCTGGTCTGATGCCTATAGTACATCAAACTGGTTCTTACTTAAGTAATTACTAATTTTTGACTATTATATAATAAAACATATTGTCATGTTTGCAGCAGGAATCATATGCATTTTAAGAAAAATATATCTAAAAGGTTTAATGTTAGGATTACATTTGTGTCTACATTTGTGGAGTATCCAATATTTAAGTCCATACTTCAATTTTTTTTCCAGTATTTGGGTTTTCTTTAAATCAAATACTAAGATAGCAGGAATCTGACTTTGGCATGCATAGATTTACAGAGGAATAGAATGATTCATCTATGCTAAATAACAATATGCTAAATACACAGACATGCAAATATATCCTGTTGGTGGCTATGAACTGTTTTATGAAACACCAGCCCTGTATTATCTTTATTTTTTTCGTGGTAGATGATTAATGGCGATGGGATCAGAAAATGAATGAAAAAGATAAATGCATTGCTGTAGGATCCAACTCTGTGGAGTTGATCTTCAGTAGCAGTAGAATAATTTAACCATATTAAAGCAGGCTCATCTGCACCAAGCAAGATATTTCTTCATTTTTTTTTACATCTAAGATATAACATTGCATATTAAAACTGCAATTAAATGCAGGTAAAATGAATAATATATAGTTTCTGTCAACTCGGTTAATGAAAGTGTCTTGAGAAAAAAGTATTTAAATCAGGACTAATGCCAGTATGCTAATTGCTTTTGTTTATGCTTTATATAATGGGTATGCACTATAGCATATAATGAAATTCCAATGCATTATTCTTCCCTTCACTGTAAGATATTTGTCTGCAGAGAAATTGCAGAAATATACAAGACATTACTCTTTTCAGTAATGTTCATTTCTTTAAAGAGAAGTTGGGATAGGACAAGTAATTGCTGAAATCATTACCCAGTTAAGGACTCACTTAAATATCTACTAGTTTGATCGGGCAATCCATAGACTTCGTGTCCCAAGTAACTCTGAACCCATTCATGCCAATATAAACTTACCAAGATTCTTGTACTAAAATTCAGTGAGAAAATACCAATGGCACAGTTTTTAGGTAAAAGGTGTAAAATGGATACAAGAATCTTCTGAATAGAACAGAACAGAATAACAGAGTTGGAAGGGACCTCAGGGGTCTTCTAGTCCAACCCCCTGCTTATGCAGGAAACCCTACACCACTACAGACAAATGGTTATCCAACATTCTCTTGAAAAACTTTCAATATTGGAGCATTCACAACTTCTGGAGGCAAGTGGTGCCACTAATTAATTGTTCTAATTTTCAGGAAATTTCTCTTTAGTTCTGTTAGAATATTCATGACTGGCAGAGACATAATAACAAGATCAGCCAATGTATTGGCATGGCAGCTGGGTCAGCCAATGAGAACTATTTGGTGACTGAGAGCAGTGCCAGATGGCTCGGAGCCTGGGTGTGGCTTAGGCGTAGCTTAACTGCCCTGTATAGAGAAGGTTCTCTTTGCCTACATTGAGTCTGCTGCTCTGAGAAGTAAACTAGCAGTCTGTCTGGGCTTGTCTGCTGATATGAAGCTAACTGCTTGTGTTTGCCTGTAACTCTCCTGCCTTGTGTTTACTTGGAAGAACCACCTCTTGGTATTGTACATTTATTCATCTATTCTTATGTATATAAAGAACTTAATGAATCCTGCTGAATCAGTTATCTGTGTGTGCTTTCTGGATTTGAATTTATGCAACAAACTCAGAACCACTGAAACGTAGGACCAACACACTGATCTTCAGCAATACATTATTTTCGTTTTTGGAACTATTAGATCTTTTCCTGATGTCCCCCAGCTGCAAAACAGCTGCCCATCCCACCATAATGTTGCTAAACCCACATTACCTTCTTCAGCCAGCTCCATGATGTAGGAATCCAGTGTAACCACAGGCAGGACCTCAAAGTGGCTCCAGTATTGGAAGAGGGTGACTTGCTCGGCCTGACAACTGCCCTGACGCCTGGGCAACCTGTGCCCCAGAAGTTCTTCCACCAGCTTTACGCACACTGCAACAGGAAGAAGGGCACACACAGAGATACTCCATGGATTAGTGTCATTTCTAGGAACAGAACTGTTTGATAATCTAGCACCATAGACACGAATCTTAGCCACAATGGAATAACTGCTTCTTGAGGAGGACTGAAAATATATAAATGATTGTGGATCCGCCCGCTTATGCCTCGAAACGAACAGTGTCCAACAAGTACGGATAGTCCTCACTTAGCAACCATTCATTCAGCAACGGATGGAAATTACGAAGCACTAAATTAAGG